CTAAATGGACACAGCTTAGAAACACAGTGCTAAATTTAAAAAGTAGAGACAATGAAATCTATAACACAGTATTATATGTAAATTAAATATACATACACAAAAAATACATATTTTACAGGAATATACAAAAATACCTAGACATTAACTACATTAGAAAGGTTGCGAAGTAAAAGAAAAGGGAATAGGGATAAAGAGAATGCATAGATAAATAACAAGTGAAGGGCCAATAGTATGTCATGAACTGTGGAATATGAGCAATTCAACGTTTGGAACCAGAGATCCAAAATATAAAGGGGAAAAAAATTGCAGAGTTATGAGCAGAGCAGAAATAAAGCACAGAAAGTGAAAAGGCATGGTATGCTTCTAGGAGATGTTTTAGGTGGGTTGCCAGAGAGCCTGGATTGTTGGGTGGGCTGCAGAAAATAAGGGTGGAATGAAGCTGGAGTTAGAGTGTCAAAGGCCTTGGATGTTCTCTTCAGAAACTGAACTTCAAACTACCAGTGTTTCTAACAGTGACATGTCCCTATCTTTTTAAGAAAAGATCACTTTAGCAGGGAGAGCATCTAGGATGAAGGATGATCAGAACCTGAATTAAGAAGAAGAAACTTTAGAAGAATTTACATGACCTTGTGTCTGAATGAATCTGAGCGCTATGGAGAGACTATTCACCATGGTTGATAGGGTGCTATTAATATAAAAAGGGGAAAGCAATTGGGGAAGGAAGAAAATGAGTTCAGTCTGAGTTTGAGAGTCTAAATATGTCCTAAAGACAGATGGAAGTGCAGGCCTGGAAATCCACAGACATTTAGACTAGAGAAAATGGGATGGGAGATATAAACACAAAGGTGACAGTTTAAAGACTGCACAGGAACAGAGGCAAGAGAGAAGGGAGGCAAAAGGCAGACCCTTAGAAAAGGTACATCAAGAGAAAGAAAAGATAGAAAGAATGGCTCAAGAGGTAGCAAAAGGTAAGAGGCAAAAGACAAAGAGAAGGAAGAGAGAGAAGAGGAAGAAGAGAAGAATATGTTTTGAAAGCCAAAACAAAAAATTTCAAAAAGAAGCAAGTGGTCTGTGTGCTCAGTACCACAGAAATTAAGAGACTTAAGAAAAGGCCTTGAATTTGACAATTAGAAGGTGGTAGAATAATCTGGACAAAATAATTTGAGGGCATGGTGAAGATGGAAGCAAATTATAAGAGGTGAAGGAATGAGGGTATAGTTGGATAGTGAAAGGTAGAAAAGCAAAGAGAGGAAACTAGCCTCAGAGGACAGTAGGATCAAGGAAAGTGGACTTTGAATAATTACTGAATGAAGAAGGCTGTGAATTTGTGTCACTTAGCAAACAGCTACGAAAAGCCAGGTTTTCATTATAGCAAAAAAGTGGAATGAGCTTTTAAAGAAAAGGTTAGCAACAAAGGAGATTTGTTCACGGAAGAATGGAGTCAGCAGAGAGATAGGACAGGGGTAGAAGATAAAAGGGAGAAGTAGAGCTGAGCTCTGTGAGAATAATTTGCAAGGACTGGCAGGTGTGGGACTATCAGCAAAAAGGAACACAGGAGGCTGGGTGGTGAGCTTGAGGCATGATGGAGAGTGCCAACCAGACCCCAAATTTAGGCAGAAACAGTACAGTCCCATCCCTCACCCCAGGATACAGACCTCTGCAATGTTATTTCCTGTTCAGAAATTGTTTTAACTGGCTTTCAGAATTTCTACAATGCAGTCTTAACCATTTGCGTGTTTGTCAAATAATCCATACTCTTTGGTTAAACATGCAGGCTTTGAGGTCAGATGAGTTTGGTTTGAAATCCTAGCTGTACTACCTACCTATCAGCCATTATTTTGAGACAAGTTACTTGACTTCTCAATATATCCATTTCCTCATCTGTGAGATGGGGACAATACTAGTTACTAACCTTATACAGNTATATATATATATATATATATATATATATATATGTAAAATTCATCAAGCTGTTCACATAAGACTACAATTTAAGTTTTACCTTTTTTAAATAAGGCACTCCTAGAATACGTCTAAAGGTAGGAATGATTACATTAAGAATAATTCCTATTTAGGAGAAGCAAAAACTGGTAGAACTGAAAAGAGAAGAAAGTAGACCAAACCTAGGGAAGAAAATAAAAGCGTGACTTGGAAGCCAGCCTGGGACAGAGGTATCCCTAGGGTTTATACTGGCAAGAGCCTTTAGGTCCAGATAAGGAGGGAGAACACAAACACAGGAGCCAATATTCTCTTCCTCATTCTTTTCGATTCTGAAAAATTTTTTGCCTGCTCCCCACCTTTTTTTTGAGATAATTTCAGACTTAGAGGACTTACACAAATAGTAGTTCCCAGGTACCCTATATCCAGCTTCCCCTTATGTTAACATCTTACGTAACCATAGACATTTATCAAAACTAAGAAATTAACACTGGTACAAGTACAGAACTTTTTCATGTCCTCCTTAAGTTCGTGAAACATTCTTATCATCAGTGTTCTAAACTCTGTCTCTGAAAGGTTGGATACCCCTGTTTCATTTAGTTCCATTTCTTGAGGTTTCTTCTCATCTTTTACTTGAGACATGTTTCTTTGTTTCTTCATTCTGGCTGTCACTCTGATTGCTTAGATGTATTAGGTCACCAGTGAGCGAGTTGGTTTGCCGGCTCCACTGGTTCTCCAGCTGCCCTCAGCCTCACCGAGTTGAGCAAAGAGAGGCCTCACTATTTTCTCTTTCCAGCTATCGTAGAACTCCTCTTCCCAGCAATGTAACTCTGGGGTGGTGAGCGTGGTGTGGGGCCAGAGGGTCTCTTCCCCAACCAGAGAAGCCTCCCCACCGCTGAGGTGTCCCTCACGGGGTTTGCCCTCTCTCGTCTCTGTCCCTCCTACCAGACTCGATATGGCCTCCTCTTTAAGTCCTTTGTTTAGAGGTACTGCTCATCTAGGGTCCAGGGAACTTCCGAGGTTGAATATCTTATAAATTTTTTGTAATTTTGGTGTGATCCTGGGAGGCAGTCGGCACAGTGTCTGTCTATTCCACCATCTTACCGGAAGTCTGAACTTTTTCAGATTGTACCAGTTTTTCCACTAATGTTTTTTTTCTGTTCCAGGATCCTACACTATTTAGTTGTCATGCCTCCTAGTTTCCTGATTTGTGAGTTTGTCACACTCCTCATCTTTTATGACCTTGACACTTCTGAAGAATATCATCAGTTATCTTGTAGAAAGTCTCTCAATTTTTGTTTGTCTGATGTTTTCTCATGATTATATTGTGGTTATGCATTACTGGAAAGGGTACCAAAGAGGTGATGTGCCCTCTTAATGCATCATGTCAGGTGTACATGATGTCAATATATGTCACTGGTGATGACTTGACTGAAGTAATGTCTACCAGGATTCTCCACTGTATGCTTATTATTTTTCTTAAGTATTTTAAGGAAGAGACTGTCATTAACATTTTGATGGGTAGAACTCACCAGTAGGAAAATATATTTCACTGGAAAAGGAAAATGTATATTAAACAGTAAATATGTAACCTATTTGTTTAAAGGGTCTGTGAAGACATAAACAAATACCAGTGAATGCTTTGAAACTTTGTTATATTAGCAAAAAAAATTTTTTTTAAGTTTTAGGAGGACAGCTCTTGGTCAGTAACATATATCAAGACTGAAGTAAGACAAGAAGGCTGTGAAGATTCCAAATTCTTGTCATCGCAAAAATAAAGCAATCCAAGTAAAACAGAGATTTCTGCTAAGAACTGACTATGCAAGCATCACTCTGGGGTACTCTAGTGTAGAAATCCCCTTCATAGGCTGAATAAGAAGTAAAACCATGTACAAATGGAGTAAATGGCATCAGAGATGGAATAAGGAACTGAGATATGGAGAAGAATCTGAGTGGTTAAAAAATAAAAATACATACTGACTGCAGTTTCAAGAGCCTCTGAGAACTGCTTACATCTGACCCAGCATAAATAAACCAGGTACAGTATTCATGTGTTGCTCCATCTGTCAACACTCAGCCATAACTACGTGTAAGGGATCCAGGACTGGGAGATGGAGAGCACATTCTCAGGTGTGTCTCGGGGTGGCCTAGGCCATCGGTAGAAGCAGCAGCATTCCCTCTTGCTGCTGACAAAAAGGGTCAAACCTGTCTACTGAGGGAATAGAACAGAGGACCAATACACTATCTCTATGCCACTGTAATGCCTCAAACTGTTCACCACCTTCCTACCTTATCCACTGCCTTAGTGCAAAGCTCTAACTTAAGTCCTACCCTCAGCACCTATTCCAGGATCCATTGTAACCTTTGGTTTATAGTCGAAAGAGTCCCTGCTCCTATAGTGACAAAAGTATAGGACAAGAAAAGTAAAGGTATGTTCTTAGGTCCTGAACGGAAACACTGATCACATTTCCTCACTTAAAAAAAAGTATGTGTATAAAAATATACATACATACATACCAGGTCTGCCAATTAAGTTCGCAAACTTGTTGCAACAATGTTGCTAATGTTTTTTTATATCAGAGGGATTATTCATTATGAATTTGTTCCAACTGTACAAACAGTTAACCAAGTTTTACTATTTGGAAGTGCTGAAAAGGCTGCTTGAAAAAGTTAGATGACCTGAACTTTTCACCAACAATTCATGACTCTTGCATCATGACAATGCACCAGCTCACAAAGCACTGTCTGGGAGGGAGTTTTTAGCCAGTAAACAAATAACTGTATTGGAACACCCTCCCTACTGACCTGATCTGGCCCCCAATGACTTCTTTCTTTACCTGAAGATAGAGGAAATATTGAAGACATTTTGATGATATTCAGGACATTAAGGGTAATACGACGACAGTTTTGATGGCCATTCCAGAAAGAGTTGCAAAATTGCTTTGAAGGGTGGACTATGCACTGTCGTTGGTGCATAGCTTTCCCAAGGGGAGTACTTCAAAAGTGACCATAGTGATACTCAGCANAGCATCTTAGCTGTAGAGGGCAGTGTCACTGGCCCTCATATGTGGGATCCAAACTGGGGCCCTCTGGCGTCCCAAGCCAGCTCTTAACCAATGCGTCACTCGGCTGGCCCCTGCCATCAGCTTTTTAAGTAATGCCATTCCTGCTATTGAAAGCATTTATTTTTAGAAGCTTTAATCTGACCCCGGGAAATGAGTTCTCTTAAAACTTGACAAATAGTATAAGTCCAAAAGGTTTTAAATCAAAAAGGCCTTCCCACACAGAAGCATTCCCATGAAACTTTTAGTTTCTCCCACCCCCAGTCACTCTGTATTTAAAGAAAAGAATATTAAAACAAATTACCTTAAGACAGATAAACACTCCTACAAAAAGACTGTATTTTCTTATAACATCTTCTCCTTAAAAGAAACACAAACCAGTTTACTATCTTTCAATAACCTCAGACTACTGTAGTCTAAAAACTTTAGAGTACATGAAACACATGTCTTAGCTGTCATCAAGTCAAAGGTATCATTTAGATTTCACATATTAAACAGCTACAAGTGTAGCCTACAATGGTACAAATAAACCTGATACATAAATAATACTCCATCATTTAGATAGTCACAAGTCAGAAAGTACTACATGGTTTGCAAGGTTCTTCAACTTACATGTGGTCATTAAAATCCACTTAGTATTTCAGGTATGGTCATATAATGACAGGCAAGTAAAGGTTCAAATTATCACTCAAAAATCG